ATAAAATGAAAGAAAACGTCAAAAAGCACAAAGAGCGGGAGGACTGAGATCTTGTCCTAAAGTGGAGCAAAGGAGTGGAGCATGATGGACTGCAGAGATAGGCTGTAAAACTAAGCTTGACTGCGTATCCGGGTGTTTTCTTGAGCGCCGCATTGTTCACTGAAAGTGAAATGCTGATTCTAATTGAGAGAAGCACACAGGAGCATGTTCAAATAGCTCATTTGGAGCCTGTGTCATCGCTTACGGCCATACCACCCTGAACACGCCCGATCTCGTCCGATCTCGGAAGCTAAGCAGGGTCGGGCCTGGTTAGTACTTGGATGGGAGACCGCCTGGGAATACCAGGTGCTGTAAGCTTTTCTCTTCTTTTCTTGCATCTTTTTGCCGTGTTCTCTCTCCAAGAGGCTAGGATATCGGTCTTTGGGGAGCCTGGTCTTTTGCTTGGACAAATGCAAGTGCACTTGGAGATTAGGCTGAACATAAAATGAAAGAAAACGTCAAAAAGCACAAAGAGCGGGAGGACTGAGATCTTGTCCTAAAGTGGAGCAAAGGAGTGGAGCATGATGGACTGCAGAGATAGGCTGTAAAACTAAGCTTGACTGCGTATCCGGGTGTTTTCTTGAGCGCCGCATTGTTCACTGAAAGTGAAATGCTGATTCTAATTGAGAGAAGCACACAGGAGCATGTTCAAATAGCTCATTTGGAGCCTGTGTCATCGCTTACGGCCATACCACCCTGAACACGCCCGATCTCGTCCGATCTCGGAAGCTAAGCAGGGTCGGGCCTGGTTAGTACTTGGATGGGAGACCGCCTGGGAATACCAGGTGCTGTAAGCTTTTCTCTTCTTTTCTTGCATCTTTTTGCCGTGTTCTCTCTCCAAGAGGCTAGGATATCGGTCTTTGGGGAGCCTGGTCTTTTGCTTGGACAAATGCAAGTGCACTTGGAGATTAGGCTGAACATAAAATGAAAGAAAACGTCAAAAAGCACAAAGAGCGGGAGGACTGAGATCTTGTCCTAAAGTGGAGCAAAGGAGTGGAGCATGATGGACTGCAGAGATAGGCTGTAAAACTAAGCTTGACTGCGTATCCGGGTGTTTTCTTGAGCGCCGCATTGTTCACTGAAAGTGAAATGCTGATTCTAATTGAGAGAAGCACACAGGAGCATGTTCAAATAGCTCATTTGGAGCCTGTGTCATCGCTTACGGCCATACCACCCTGAACACGCCCGATCTCGTCCGATCTCGGAAGCTAAGCAGGGTCGGGCCTGGTTAGTACTTGGATGGGAGACCGCCTGGGAATACCAGGTGCTGTAAGCTTTTCTCTTCTTTTCTTGCATCTTTTTGCCGTGTTCTCTCTCCAAGAGGCTAGGATATCGGTCTTTGGGGAGCCTGGTCTTTTGCTTGGACAAATGCAAGTGCACTTGGAGATTAGGCTGAACATAAAATGAAAGAAAACGTCAAAAAGCACAAAGAGCGGGAGGACTGAGATCTTGTCCTAAAGTGGAGCAAAGGAGTGGAGCATGATGGACTGCAGAGATAGGCTGTAAAACTAAGCTTGACTGCGTATCCGGGTGTTTTCTTGAGCGCCGCATTGTTCACTGAAAGTGAAATGCTGATTCTAATTGAGAGAAGCACACAGGAGCATGTTCAAATAGCTCATTTGGAGCCTGTGTCATCGCTTACGGCCATACCACCCTGAACACGCCCGATCTCGTCCGATCTCGGAAGCTAAGCAGGGTCGGGCCTGGTTAGTACTTGGATGGGAGACCGCCTGGGAATACCAGGTGCTGTAAGCTTTTCTCTTCTTTTCTTGCATCTTTTTGCCGTGTTCTCTCTCCAAGAGGCTAGGATATCGGTCTTTGGGGAGCCTGGTCTTTTGCTTGGACAAATGCAAGTGCACTTGGAGATTAGGCTGAACATAAAATGAAAGAAAACGTCAAAAAGCACAAAGAGCGGGAGGACTGAGATCTTGTCCTAAAGTGGAGCAAAGGAGTGGAGCATGATGGACTGCAGAGATAGGCTGTAAAACTAAGCTTGACTGCGTATCCGGGTGTTTTCTTGAGCGCCGCATTGTTCACTGAAAGTGAAATGCTGATTCTAATTGAGAGAAGCACACAGGAGCATGTTCAAATAGCTCATTTGGAGCCTGTGTCATCGCTTACGGCCATACCACCCTGAACACGCCCGATCTCGTCCGATCTCGGAAGCTAAGCAGGGTCGGGCCTGGTTAGTACTTGGATGGGAGACCGCCTGGGAATACCAGGTGCTGTAAGCTTTTCTCTTCTTTTCTTGCATCTTTTTGCCGTGTTCTCTCTCCAAGAGGCTAGGATATCGGTCTTTGGGGAGCCTGGTCTTTTGCTTGGACAAATGCAAGTGCACTTGGAGATTAGGCTGAACATAAAATGAAAGAAAACGTCAAAAAGCACAAAGAGCGGGAGGACTGAGATCTTGTCCTAAAGTGGAGCAAAGGAGTGGAGCATGATGGACTGCAGAGATAGGCTGTAAAACTAAGCTTGACTGCGTATCCGGGTGTTTTCTTGAGCGCCGCATTGTTCACTGAAAGTGAAATGCTGATTCTAATTGAGAGAAGCACACAGGAGCATGTTCAAATAGCTCATTTGGAGCCTGTGTCATCGCTTACGGCCATACCACCCTGAACACGCCCGATCTCGTCCGATCTCGGAAGCTAAGCAGGGTCGGGCCTGGTTAGTACTTGGATGGGAGACCGCCTGGGAATACCAGGTGCTGTAAGCTTTTCTCTTCTTTTCTTGCATCTTTTTGCCGTGTTCTCTCTCCAAGAGGCTAGGATATCGGTCTTTGGGGAGCCTGGTCTTTTGCTTGGACAAATGCAAGTGCACTTGGAGATTAGGCTGAACATAAAATGAAAGAAAACGTCAAAAAGCACAAAGAGCGGGAGGACTGAGATCTTGTCCTAAAGTGGAGCAAAGGAGTGGAGCATGATGGACTGCAGAGATAGGCTGTAAAACTAAGCTTGACTGCGTATCCGGGTGTTTTCTTGAGCGCCGCATTGTTCACTGAAAGTGAAATGCTGATTCTAATTGAGAGAAGCACACAGGAGCATGTTCAAATAGCTCATTTGGAGCCTGTGTCATCGCTTACGGCCATACCACCCTGAACACGCCCGATCTCGTCCGATCTCGGAAGCTAAGCAGGGTCGGGCCTGGTTAGTACTTGGATGGGAGACCGCCTGGGAATGGGCCATGACCCCCCCAAGTCCATATCCCCTGGGTCATGAAGTGAGCGGGCCAGACAGCTATCCCTGTGAACAGAAGGTTGCGGGTTCGATCCCCGAACAGGTCAAACTAAATTTTCCACAAATGACCCGAGGCCGAAGCTTCTAGTTTTATAACGATGTCATATGACATGATGCCATATATTCTTCATTCAGTTGTACTTCAATAATACTAAATTTGCATTTAACCCTTGCTACACATTTTTCCCTTCAAGGCTCTTTCGGGTCAAATTTGACCCGTATCTACATTTAGATGGATTTTAGATCTAGCAGTGTGGGACAAGTGACAAACAGTAACAACAGTGTTCAATAAAAAGTTGGTTGTTCAAAAAGATATATTCAAATCATTATGAAACTGTCATTACCTTGACAGAAACACACACACACACACACACACACACACACACATGCACACAGACATACAGTCCCGCAGACACACTGAGACAGAGGTCAAGATGACCTAACCAGTCACAAGAACTTTCTGTGACAGAAAGCTGCTCTTTGAACTCTTTGAAGGGGCAAGGGGATCCTAAAATATAGAAATAGTAAACAAACAACACATGAGTGATCAAAGATGGAGGACAAAGGGATCAGAAGTCATCCGGAGGTCAGAGTGTGCCTTGACCATAGACTGTACACAGGTGTAACATGTGCACCTGCTCCTTCCTGCAATATAATGTACAAAGTAACAAATTGGAATCTGTTTGATTGGGAGGGAGGCGGTGGGAGTTGTAACTTTATGAGAGTGAAGACAGCTGCCATTTCACATGTGCAAGCTCCACACATGTAAAGTGCTTTGCTTTGAATGCAGAGACTAGCAGTGAGGACAGTGACAAACAGTGAGAACAGTGTTCAATATGAAGTTTGTTGTTCATAAAAATATATTCAAATCATTATGACTTTTGTATTTTTATGTTTTACATAACATTAGATGACATATTTATGACGTTGACGTTTATAATGATGACGTTTATACTGATTTTATACTTTTTTCTCCTTTTGCTCTATTCTATTTTAATTTTTGCTCAGCTAATGCTTTTCAATTGCCCCATGTATCCCATGTAGTAGATGTTTTCTCCAAAATGTATGTATTTCACCAAAAAACGAGTGGTGTTAAAACTGAAAAAATACACTTTCCCTGCTCTTTGAAACATTTAGGAAGGACTAATCAATAATTTTTTGAAGTAGCAGAGGTCATTTAAACATTACGAATAGGTTTGGGGTTAGAACTTTGGTGAAAATACTTGCTACATGGGCAATTCTTGGTCCGGGTCAATTTTGACCTGGAAGGTACTGTGAGGGTACAGGATTTGAAGAGTATGTGAGGGTTAATAAACACATAGACAATCACAGCTCTTTTATTGACAAAATTATTTTTATTATTTTGATCAACACACCACACTTGAACAGTTTAAACAGCAGAATTAAAATCTAATCACACAGAACATAACTTTGCAAACAAATCAACAGTCTTAAATATTATTAAAATAACATAAAACAAACGTGGCCATCTTGTGGCCATGCGGCCATCTTTCCACTTTGGATTTTTCTCTTAGCTCAGCGCCTGATCATCATCAAGATGCTCAAAAATCAATAATACTAACCTTGCATTTAATAAATACATAGACAATCACAGTCACCGGCTGCTGTGGGGCTGTTTGACTGCTGTTTACAAACGAATTTAGTAGATGTCAGAGAAATTGAATTACTTGGTATATCTCTGTATGAGTTATGTCTAACTGTGGACTTTTAACAGAAGTGAGCCTCATTCTTTCTTCTTTCCAGTTCCTCATCTACAACACTTTTAAAATGCTCATAGCTCATGTACACAACACCTTCAAAACCACTAGTGGTGGATTTCCTAGTTACTGGGCAATAGGTGAATATCTTCTGGCTACTCCCAGCAGCTTTCACCTTGGAGGGTGTGTACCGCTTCCGCTGCCCACCACACTGAGGTACTTGGCAAGCACTGCACGGCTTCCTAGACTGGTTGGGCATGACCGGTTTATTTGTTGGTGCAGCGGGCGGTGTTACCACTGTGAAACTCTGGCTGCATGATGGCCCATTAAAGCTGATGTTTGGAGCTTGTGGCTGTGCTGGAACCACCAGAAGCACAGGTGCCCCTGCCACTGACGGTCGGATGAAAGTGGCCGTGCCAGGCTTGGGCTGAAAGGGTCTGTCTTTAAGGTCTGAATGGGTCGGTTCATAGGCTCCGGCTCTTCAAAATTCCACCTGCAAATATAAAGCATAAAAATGATAAGATCAACGTGCATTTACTTCCGTTATCACAGTAAGACTACTCACATCATTTAAAGGTATAATTGGCTGTTTAAAGCATTGAAAATAAAATATTTAGTGGTGACATGGAAAATCACACTAAATTATCACATAGATTGCTGTTTGCCACATTAAAATATAATTAGTGATTAACTGTACTTTAAGGTCACTTAAGCCCAACTAGATATGTTGTGGTTTGAGTGAAACCATAACAAAAACATCAACAGAATGGTAAATCTGCTAACAATGGGACAGTCTATCTATGTTCTTTTCAATAGACCTAAGTCCAGTTATCTGTGTCAGTGCTTACTATTTTATTTTTAATCAGGAAAACAGCTTACTCAAATAATTTAATGTCTGTAAAGATGTAAACATCTTACCGTCGCTTCTCACCACGTCTTCTCCCAGTGACATGACGAGGGTGCTGATACTGCACTTGAGGTCGATCTGGTTGTGGTAGGATTGAGGGTAGGTCAGGAGCTTTGGGTACTGGTTGATCCGACAGCACTGTCTTGTGGGGCTTTGGGTAGGTAGGTAGGGTCTACAACTTTCCTAGGAGCCTCTATGACAGCCCTAGCTGCATCGGTACACTGCAGCCTGGCCTCTCCCTGCCTGTACAGAGGGATGCTTGGATACTGATGCAGCTTGATGTGGCTGTTCAGCTGGGGTTTGGTTGTGAAGCTTTTTCCACAAACATCACACTGGTTCTCCTTTGGTGCATGGATTTTCATGTGGCGTGTAAGGTTGGACTTTTCCGTGAAGACCTTGTCACATACACTGCACTTATTTACTCTGTCCATACCTGGTGAAGTGAAATATGAAGAAATATCAGTCATAAGGTATTATGATGAGTAGATTGATAATTATGGCAGTCCTATTTGCCTAAAAGCAACGTAGTATGATTTTTAAACAGCCTATTTTGCCAAAACCATGTGTATTCTTGTCCTAAGAGATGAACAGATTTCATTTAGTAGTCTTGTCTCAAATGGCTAACCATAATTACTAAAACTCTTAGATTTAAACAGTCTTAGATTGACCAGTATCACATAACACTGTGAAGAAACAAGAATAATAAACTAGGTGCAATTTAATGTACATGATAACACTGAAAGTTTCAACCCCTGTACATGACACTGCACACACAGACACTGTGTTATTGTGACGCGGTCAGAAAATATTTATGCAGCCAGAAAGAAACCTACGAAAGTGGCTGGTCTGTTTTTCAATGTAGTTTTTTCTGTATTTCTCAGTAGTGTTTCCCTGTTAGTTTGCCGTGGCGGTGCTACTAGCTTACTCCAGTAGCTCGCGCATACTCATCCGCTGTGGGCGACACAGGCCGCTGTTCACGAAAGAGCTACGTTAACTTCGTAGCGGTACCACGGCCGGAAAAGTGCTTCATTAAATACTTCCCACACACGCTCCCTTGATAAATTTACCTGTAGTCGTTAAAAGTCAAAAGGGATGGAGATCCGAGAGGTTAACTTGTCCGTTCGTGTTCAGTCAGTGCGGGCTATCCATCACTGTCAGTGAATCCCTGTCAGTGACTGACAGACCGGCTGCTGCTCAATGATTGGACGCTGAGACTGCTGGACCTGCTCAACGTCGCTCAACCATTGGTCGCTGACTGCTCAACGTCGCTCAACCATTGGTCAATTTGAGGGTCGGATAAGGACTTGGAGGAGAGTTTGCCTGGGAATACCAGGTGCTGTAAGCTTTTCTCTTCTTTTCTTGCATCTTTTTGCCGTGTTCTCTCTCCAAGAGGCTAGGATATCGGTCTTTGGGGAGCCTGGTCTTTTGCTTGGACAAATGCAAGTGCACTTGGAGATTAGGCTGAACATAAAATGAAAGAAAACGTCAAAAAGCACAAAGAGCGGGAGGACTGAGATCTTGTCCTAAAGTGGAGCAAAGGAGTGGAGCATGATGGACTGCAGAGATAGGCTGTAAAACTAAGCTTGACTGCGTATCCGGGTGTTTTCTTGAGCGCCGCATTGTTCACTGAAAGTGAAATGCTGATTCTAATTGAGAGAAGCACACAGGAGCATGTTCAAATAGCTCATTTGGAGCCTGTGTCATCGCTTACGGTCATATCGAGAAGAAGAAGACACGGCTTCAAAGTAAAATTTGACGGCTGGACGTCAATTAAGTTTTTAACCAACCAATGACACCAAAACGAATTACTGTGAAGCCACTGTGACAGCAGCCTCTGTAATCCGTTGATACCACCCGACCTTCGCCGACATTTTACGGAAATACACGATTACTGCGAATACTGTCACGTGAAGACGGAACTGAAATCATGGTCATGTGATTCCAGCCCGGGCGCGATTGCTGTGCGTACTGTTTACCTTCAGCCCCTCACTCGGTGTCAGCAGAGTAATGCGGAGTTTGTCTAAAGATGTACTCCCACGGCTCAGAGAGTTTAATCAAACAAGCAAGGTAAGAAATACGGAAGCTAAATGTAGCTGGCTGTACTGTGCTCAGCGCTGTGATATTGAAGTTAATACAGCATTACTGCAGGTTCCCGTAGCTGTACCGTAGCCGTAGCTACACCTTATGGGTGTATTTGTCCTCAAAGATCAAATTTACTGAATTTATTGGTTTTAAGTCCCTCTATCAGGTGACTTCATGTATTGCTAAAGGGTATCAGCAGGTGCTCTGTGTGTGCTTTTCAGAGAGATCCAGGACTCTGAGCTGCAGAAGTTTTACAGTAGACTGACAAAGCTGCTTCAGGGGAAAGAGCTTGGTCATGAGACAGTGGACTCCCTGCAGAGACTTCTCCTCATCCTCTCTGCCACCAAGTACACAAAGACGTAAGAGATCCAACCTTCACTTCCTGTCGTCCTGTCACTCTTATTTTCACTGTTATGTGTCAGGCTGCAGACCTCCACTGAGAGGACCTGAGGTGAAGTTTTTTTTTCTCGCGCGTTTCAGTTTGTTTAAAGAGGTCATCCCGTTTTGTATTTTGTCTTTGTTGAACACATGAATACGCAGAAAAAAAGACAAAATATATTCACACAAGACAAAAAATGCGTAGGGGGGAGTGAGGTAAGTTGAGCCACCCCCTGTTGCTTGGAAATGGTCAAAGAAATTGATCATGTGACCAAATAATTAGGAAATGGGCATCAATTCATGGAGTCTGTGAAGGTTAGAAGCACATGGGTGAAGGGGTTAGACATTTATTTACAAAAAAAAACAATTTTCACTCTTGAAAGCGAATATAGTCTGTCTTACGTTTTATTAGAATTGTGTTCAGACCAAAAAAGATCATTTAAAGTTTGTTTTATACATCAATTGTGTTACTTATGAGCTGTTATCTATGAGCTACAACATGAGGTCAAAAACCTAGCACCATTTTAGCTTAGAGGTCTAATAAAGTCATAATAGTAGTTCTGTGGTAAGTTGAGAAAGTAAAGGAGTCTGACGAGAGGATCAGAGTTTCAGTTCAGATTGTTGAGATGTGTTACTTTTTCTTTTGAAAAATACAGCTGTGAATGTTCTGAATCACTTAAAGACATTCTCATGTTAAAATGGCTTTTTAGAAAACAGCTTTTTAGCAGTTATATGTAATAATAATAAAAAGAACTATTGTACCAGTTGAATAGCATATAATAAATAAAAATACACATGAATGTGAAGAAGTGACTGTTATTTAGGGAGAGAGAAGGTGAGGGAGGGCTGGGGTGGAGAGTGGGGAGGTAGTAGTGATTCGGCTGAACTTACCCCGCTCCTCTGGTCAACTTACCCAAAACACGGCGTAAGTTGACCATAGGAGACCACTTTTTCTTTGGCATGCTATATTATCAAGACAGTTATGTTTACACTTATTCTGTTGGTTTGCAGGGATGCACAACATCCTGAAATATATGCAGATACACTAGTTAGAGACAAAACTATGATTGCCTTGATGTAGTGATCTGAAATATGAAAAATGGCTCATCTTACCCCACTCTCCCCTACTTCCCGTGTAATCACTTTTCATTTGAAGGCTTCGAATCAACTTCAGACATAAAAAAAGAAAAGTACTCCCGGTATATTTGCTTTTTCGCTCAGTGGAGGCGGGTCCTCTCAGTGGAGGTCTGCAGCTAGACTGTCCTAGAGGAGAGAAGATTTATTTCACCCTTTTGATTCACTAATTCCTGTATCTATGATTCACCTGCCCTGAAACAGCACTCAAATAACATATCAACCTTTTCTACCACATTTCTAAGTATATATTCAGCAACTCTTAATCTATAAAGAAATATTTATTAAAATAAAATGTAAAATGTCTCCATAAGTCACGAGTCACAAGATAGATATCATTTTATATTGATATGAATTCAAAGAAAAAAATATGATCACAAACTTTTAAATAATAAGAAAAATGTCTTGGAATACTAAAATAAAAACAGAATCTTCTCTGTCTGTCTCGGTCTTTAGAGAGAAACTACATGTTTTGCTCTGAGATTAAATGATTGACTTTTGTTATCCTAAGCTGTGTTGCTTCTCTTGCCACCGCTCAGGTTGCCTCCAGAGCTCCAGAAGAGGATTTTTTCTCTCCTCTCGTCATCTGCAGAGCAACTTCAGGTCCTGAGCTCAGCCGTGCTCAGAGAAACGCTGCCCCTCTCTGGTCAAGATGTGAATTACAATAAGGAGAATGTCTCTCTGATGAACAGCCACGCAGCAGCCCTGCTGCTCTCACAGGTGTGCCAGAACATCACCAAAAATTCATATTTAATCTGAGATTTAAAAAAATTTAAATGGGGCTGAGGTTTTTGGCAGCCAATGTTCCCCCATTCATAGTGCAGGAAAAAATCCTTTTAAAAAGAGAGTACTTTTACTGTAAAGGAAACCATATTCAGTTTTGTTACCAGACCAGGATAAAAGTGAGTTTTTAGTTCAAATTAGAGTCGCATATTTAATCATCAAGGAGCTCTTTTTGTTTTTTTTATTCACATTTTTTTTTACTTTTACACTTTTTTTTCATCAAACTTCAACCTTTCAGGCTGGATCCAGGGCCGATCTATCATCCCTTTGCGCTCAGCTCCTTCGCGGTCTAGATGGCCGACAGCTGGAGGGGTCAGCTCACTCGCTCACACACACGCTGCCAATCCTGAACACCATCCTCACACACAGCCCAGAGAGCCTGACTGAAGGTAACCGAGGGACGACTATCAACTGAGTTATTACAATGATGAGGAGATTCTGCATGCACACACACTGATCAGCCATCACATTATAAACTCCTGCTGCGATCCAGTACTACAAATCTATCATCAACTCTACTTACAAAAAGCTTCAAATTTTCAATTCTTGTTGACATGATCCGATAGGTGACTTCTGTTCTTTGCATGAGTTGTTGAAACTGTTGTAGGTGCTGGGGATGTACTGGACTGCATCATATTAAAAGGGGCTCCTAAAAATTCCCCCACCCCCAAATGTCTTTTATTAAGTGGACAAAACATAAGGAACGCTTTTCAATATAACACACTTCAGCACCTTTACTAGGAGGTCAACTGATGTTGGTATTTCAGAACCTTCATGAAAGTGATCGCTGATATTGGGGACTAATGTGTATTGTCAGTGAAAATGTTCATCTTTTTGTCAAAATTGAGTGTTTGGAATATTGTCAACTCCAATGAAAAACTTAGTTAAATGCTTTTTTGCAACATCACAAACCAGAATATATATTTAACCCCAAGAGTACGGTTACATCATGCAGTTCAGATGGTGTGTTGGGTAGGACATAAGGTGAGACAAAGTGATGCAAAAGAAAGACCCTAAAAGAAATACACACCGGTAGGAAGCCAAAGCAACACAC